AGCGTCCAAAGACTGGTCCTTCATGAAGTTCCCAAGCGCTTTCGTATAATTCACATCTTCAGGGGTGAGTACAGACTAAGGAGAAATACTTGAGAAGGCTAATATATACAGTAGAGGAGAGTGAGATCACTATATATAACACCATCCATCATCACTATACTAAAACTAGCCATCATCACTACATATAACACCACCCATCATCACTATACTAATACTATCCATCATCACTACATATAACACCATCCATCACCACTACATATAACAGTATCCATCATCACTACATATAACACCATCCATAATCGCTACATATAACATGATCCATCATCACTACATATGACACCATCCATCATCAACTATACTTAACACCATCCACCAACACTACATATAACACCATCCATCATCAACTATACTTAACACCATCCATCATCACTACATATAACACCATCCATAATCGCTACATATAACATGATCCATCAACACTACATATAACACCATCCATCATCACTACATATAACAACATCCATCATCACTACATATAACACCATCCATCATCACTACATACAACACCATCCATCATCACTACATATAACATCATCCATCATCACTACATATAACACCATCCATCAGCACTACATATATTACCACCCATCATCACTACATATAACAACATCCATCATCACTACATATAACATCATCCATCATCACTACATATAACACCATCCATCATCACTACATATAACAACATCCATCATCACTACATATAACACAATCCATCATCACTACATATAACACCACCCATCATCACTACATATAACAACATCCATCATCACTACATATAACATCATCCATCATCACTACATATAACACCATCCATCATCACTACATATAACGACATCCATCATCACTACATATAACGTCATCCATCATCACTACATATAACACCATCCATCATCACTACATATAACAACATCCATCATCACTACATATAACATCATCCATCATCACTATATATAACACCATCCATCATCACTACATATAACAACATCCATCATCACTACATGTAACACCATCCATCATCACTACATATAACACCACCCATCATCACTACATATAACAACATCCATCATCACTACATATAACATCATCCAGCATCACCACATATAACACCATCCATCATCACTACATATAACAACATCCATCATCACTACATATAACACCATCCAACATCACTATATATAACAACATCCATCATCACTACATATAACACCATCCATCATCACTACATATAACAACATCCATCATCACTACATATAACACCATCCATCATCACTACATATAACACCATCCATCATCACTACATATAACAACATCCATCATCACTACATATAACACCATCCATCATCACTACATATAACACCATCCATCATCACTACATATAACACCATCCATCATCATTACATATAACACCATCCATCATCACTACATATAACACCATCCATCATACATATAACACCATCCATCATCACTACATATAACAACATCCATCATCACTACATATAACACCATCCATCATCACTACATATAACACCATCCATCATCACTACATATAACAACATCCATCATCACTACATATAACACCATCCATCATCACTACATATAACACCATCCATCATCACTACAGATCGGTAAAGTAGTTTCCGAGATTCTCCTTATAAGAGTTTCACTACAACAGCCTCTTACTACATTATTTCTTACACCTCAAACTCTGAGTCTTGTGGTCTGGTCCTCCGCTGTTATTAGTATTCAAAAATTATGAGTTTCAAGAACAACTCTGCTGAACGGCGACAAGTTAACATGACCAAACAAGAGAAAAGTCGTCCTCTACCACCATCGCTGTCACGCATGAGGGCCCAATGGGTCGAGGAGACGGCAATGGAGACTGTCCAGGCTCCAAACTGCCTGTTAGGCATTGTTATTGGCCCTGGGGGGTCCACCGTGAAAAAAATAGTAGACCAATACAAGGTGCAGGTGCGTGTTCCTCACAAGGGGTCAAAGGATGAGCCCATCCTGGTGGAAGGCAAAAACAAAACTCTCGTTAAGGAAGCCGCCCTCCACATAAAGGCGATGATTGACGAGGAGAAGGAGCGGCGTCGGGTCACCACACCAGTAAGCCGAACGCTCTTCATCCCCAAGGCCCTACACGGGAAGATCATCGGTCATCGTGGTCAAAACATTCGACCCATTATTCAATCACTGAAAATAAATATCGTATTTCCCAAGAAAAATGACAACAATGATAAAGTTTCCATCACTGGTCTGCCTAATCAGGTGGACCAGGGCATAGGTCACCTCTTAAGCCTGGTGACCAGCTTCCCCCCATGTCTGGCCTGAGGACATAAGGCTAGACCAGACTTCTTCCATCCACAACAACCCTTAAAAAAAAAAAAAAAAAATGGACCCTCTCACCACTGGCCTCCACGCGGCAGGGTCTGGAAACTCAGGGATTTATCTCTGGGGCTAACAGTGGTTTATTATTATTATTATTATTATTATTAATTATTATTATTATTATTATTATTATTATTATTATTATTATTATTATTATTATTATTATTATTATTATTATTATTATTATTATTATTATTGTTATTATGACAAAGAGTCATGTTAACTGAACTTAACTCCCAGGAAACACAAAAAGAAACCCTGGCTATTATCAACACATCAGACCAAATAACCTCACGACACCGACTGTTTATTAAATCTATGATCTCTGTAACGTAACAAGACTTTGACATAAGGTTAACCGATTCACATGACCAGGTGTTGGCGGTGAGCTGGGGTGGGGGTCACTAATCCACGCCCTGAGCCGAAACAGGATCAAGGTGAATAGGACTAATTAAAAGAGGTTTACGGGATCCAGATAAGAAATGTCAAGGTGGCAGAGTTGAGACACTAGGATTAGCTGATAAAAAACACCTTTCCTGACAGTGGACCCCCAGCTGGTAATGTGTCACAGCTGGTGTTACATAAAACCTTGTGATATATGGTAGTGGTATATGTCACATGGTAGTATATGACAGATGGTGGTAGATGACAGGTGGTAGTATATGACAGATGGTGGTAGATAACAGATGGTGGCATATGACAGGTGGTGACATAATAATAATAAATAGATTAATTCTATTCCTGGCTTGTCATACCTTAGTTAACACACAATAGACGTGTCTCTATTCATGCGATGGAAAGTTGATAAAAAAATTACTTTATTCAATTTTTTTTTTCATCTTTTAAATAGTTTTCATTTTTATCCCGCATATTACTTCAATCTTCTCGTGTATTTAGTGTTATTACCATTTTTTTCTTTTTTAATTGAATGTTCACAATGTTTCCTCTGACACTCTCTTAAATCGGGTGGTACTGTCTGGTCTGGAATTACTTAAAGGTTTAGGATAAATAAAAAAATTGTTTCTTGTGAATTAATGTAAATAATGATCTAATTCATTCTTCGTCCACGTTCAACATTATGTCTTGTAACACGCGGCACACGCCAGGTAGCTAGTACCCGTCCTGTCAGGATAGTTGGCAATTAGGTAAACATATTCTTAATGTGTTTGTCTAGTTATCAAGGAAGACTGTTAAGGTCAGTCATGGTTAGACCTATACTGTATATCTTTTTATTACCTAAATTATACCTTATGAGGTCTGAATCATCTGGAACCACAACTACCATCTGGTCATAGCTAGTATTATCCTCCAATGAGTCTACTGTCTCTATAATTCATTAATTGTTTTTATTTTTATTTTACTTTCCTGTGATAATTTAATTCCATGATTCTCCTAAATACAGGAAAGTCACTTTACAAGGAATATGATCTATGTGAGTGAATGAGAAATATATGTCTTCTGTATTCTGCAGCAGGTCCTGTGTCTAAAAAAATTCTTATAGTGTTTTGTGTGTACTCGTATATTTGAGTGTGTGAGTATTATTTGTATACGTATAATATGTCTCAGTGTAAATATGTGGTTAAAGGACACATGTTTACACTGACACGTATTGTACGTATACAAATACTCACACACTCAAATATAAGTGTACACACACACACACACACACACACACACACACACACACACACACACACACATACACACACACACACACACACACACACACACACACACATACACACACACACACACACACACACACATACACACACACACACACACACACACACACACACACACACACACACACACACACACACACACACACACACATACACACACACACACACACACACACACACACACACACACACACACACACACACACACACACACACACACACCTAGAAAAGTGCAAAGAGGGCATGCAAGATTATTCTCTCCCCTTCCTACCTACATATCAAGAAGCGCTCAACACACTGGACCTCTTTCTGACTCACTGACCATCACCACGACCTCATCTGCAAATTTGGTAAGAAGCTTCTACACCATCCCCGACACCGGCCCCTACCACCACCTGAGATCCCCTGTCCGAGAATTGCTGTTCGACACCACAACCGCATCCAGCCCATACGTGCACGAACTGATCGCTATAAGAACAGCCCAGTCCCAACCATTGTAAAAATTATCAATAACATGTAATAAATCAGTGTATTCACTCCCAGTAAACACTGCTCCCTACACTGTCACTATGTTGAAATGAACTGTATTTTGAGCTGATCCCCATCTAAGTTACTATATGTCTTATTTGTGTCACTTATGTCACTTGTATATTATTTGTAATTCGTAACCCATTCCCCAAATATGTAACTGTATATTTTCAGCCTCTGGCTGCAAGCTCTTTCAATAAACCGTTAATTATTATTATTATTATTATTATTGCACACACACACACACACACACACACACACATACACCAGTGGTGCCACCTAACTCGTGTATTCCGACAGATGATGATCACCAGGAAACATAAATTCCAAACACAAAAGTAAATGAAAAATGCGATTTTACTTCACATATGAAAAGTATAAACATCAAAGGGTTATACTTTGTCTTCTTTTGCAATAAATTAAAGAACACAAAATAACAATCACAAGCACAAAATGTGTAAGTCTTTTTTTGGTCTTGAACAAATAAGAGAAATTCAATTATATATATACCTATACACACACATACATGGCGTAATGAAAATTATACACACTGCCTTACAGATATACGTACGTGGGATCGTGTGAATGTTCTTATTATAACAGCAACATTGTCTTCACCTTTCTCACTTATCGATGTGCAAAGTTTCCCACAAACATCTTGACGAACATCTGTAAGTCAATGTGTATTCATTTTTCTGAGACATCTTATTGTTAAGTGACTCGGTAAATAAATAGTCTTAAAGCTATTCACTATTGCACTCATTCTTTTATTGTCTCTGTTGTGTTGTCCGGGTGTAAAGTCACTGTTGTTCTCAAGGTGAATCTTCCTTGTTACTGAGACGCATAACATGCAAAAATCACTTCGAGTTTCCCTAATGAGAAAGATTCAAGAATGCATCTAACTGGTTGACATAATAAAGTACACCATCATTATACTGAGTCTTCCTTAACTGGATACTGTACGTTCATTAAACACAAGTCTGGGAACACATTTTATATACAGGTTATGTTATGGAAGAGGGTAACTATACCTTAACTTTATCTGGTGTAAAGTTAATGTATCTAGTTAAGGTAGAAACTCAGAACAATGATGCTATTATATTTTAAATTCACTGAAATCAATTAGTTAAGGATATTTTTACAGCTTCAGGCACGTGGAATTCTCACCATATGAACCTCCAACACACTGAATCTTGACTTGTATTATATAAAAAAAACACTATGTTTCTATGAGTAAGTCACTGTAACACAAATCAACGTTTTTTTTCTGAATTAGTTAATAAACTACAAAAGATGAGTTTATTTTCTAACACCCTATAAAGTTTCATTTGGATATCTAACATCAGAGTACAGATGTCTGACGTCTTTGTAATAATCTTTGGCTGTAGGAAGACTCTCATATACACTGTGGTAAGAAGAACTGGTTGCTGTATGGTCATAGTGAGGCACCAGCTGAGGATAACCACACGCGTCACTGTAAAGACTCAAGAAATTTTCACTGTCGAGTCTTGAATATGAGTCTCTGAAAGAAGGCACTGAGTGGAGAGCCTCTCTAGTCTCTATATAAGCCTGAGGCGAGTGAGTCTTTGGAAAATAACCCAAATGTTCTCCAATCATTAAATTTCCTAGTGAACGGTCTCCTGGGAGCTGCTCTTCAGACACGTAGCCCCTGTTAAACTTTTTCTCCAGGAAGTGTTCACGAGTAGACAGCTCACTCAACTGCCTTTCTGTAGACAGTTGCTCTCCCCTCAACTGCCTGGCCAACAGTTGTTCTCCTAGCAGTTGTTTTCCCAGCATCTGTTCCCTAAGGATGGGTTCTCTTACGCCTCCTCCCGTTAGGTGGTCACTCCCCAGCCACTGGAACATGGGGGAGGACCTATGGTGGAGACCCGTCAGTCCTGCCTGAGATTCTTTGCCAGTAGGTACTTGGAATCCTTCACTCTGCTGTAGGAAGAGTGAACAGTCGGCCTTCCACCCTGCAGGACGTGAGGACTCCTCCCCCGTGTAGCTGGTAATGGGGAGGAGGGGAGGAGGTTTGTTACATGTTGAACTCTTCTTCCTGACGTCCTCTGGGGACCTTGGCCGCTTAGTGCCTGATGATCGTCTGCTTCCCCACTCTGGAAATATACATCAAATAGAGAATTAAATCATATGTCAATTCACATACATACATACATACATACATACAGACTGTGCATACATACATACATACATACATATTATTCACCAATCCTCTAACTAAGAGCAAAAATGTTTATCAGTTCTCTGCTAAACATTTCTCTCCGCTTCCCGGATATCATCAGGAATAAGACTGCATAATAACCTTCCTTACAACATGAAATAATACTTGCTAAAATATAGTGAATAGTAAAAATTCTCCCTGGCCACGGCCGCAATCCTTAACGTAGTCACTCATTCATCAGCGATACACAGAAAGACACATAATGTTCATCTTGTCTTTTAACCCATTCGCCAAGTGTCACGCACATACCATTTTATTCAGGCTACCGTCAGATGATTTTATTCAGCTTAGGGTAACCTCCCGCTGTGAAATGGTTAATAAACACTTAATGTATAAGATGTGACACCTGAGCAGTTCACACCTGAGTAAATTGTATAACACTGAACTATGACCTTTTGTACCATAATACCCCTTAGTGCACCATGCAGAAATGTATCTCTACACCCCTGTGGTAACCTGGGTCACCAAACGGCCAACCTATATGACCTAAACAAACCTATCCACCAATCACGTCAGTCGTTACATAACCAATAACCCAATCATTCATAAACAGTGATACTACTACTGAGACGGTGCCGTTTGGAGACACGGGTTACGGGTTACATTTCTATAACTGTACCATAGGCCCATGTTATCTTATCACGGTCGCCTATCGCATCAAGGTGGATTTTCTTTTATGAAGGGGATTGGGAGGAGAGTTAATCTAATGGTTCTTATATCTTCCTACTCTGAGCTTACTGTCATACTGGAGAGCGAGGGGGAACAGTTGAATAGATAAACCTAATCCTATTCACCACTAGAACCTATCCACACCCACCTATATCCACTACAAGAGCTTACCTATCCACTCTCACACACATACCTGTAAATTTGAAGTAGCGGTATTCGTCGTGGGTGGCTGATAGTCTCTCTACGGAAGGGGATTTATTGAGTGCCATTCTCAGGCTTTGTTTTAGCTCTACTGAGGAGAGGCTGGCTGGTTTACCTGTGGGGTGATGATTATTATTATTATTATTATTATTATTATTATTATTATTATTATTATTATTATTATTATTATTATTATTATTATTATTATTATTATTATTATTATTATTATTATTATTATTATTATTATTATTATTATTATTATTATTATTATTATTATTATTATTATTATTATTATTATTATTATTATTATTATTATTATTATTATTATTATTATTATTATTATTATTATTATTATTATTATTATTATTACAGAAGTCATAAGAATAACTCCTTATGCTATCACTGCAACGGCGATAAATAAGTCACACACACACACACACACACACACCTCTAGCAAGAGCCCAGTAGCGGAAGAGAGCTGCATCCTCTTGAGTGAAGGCTCCTGAGCTCTGATGGGTCCACAGTATCCTAAAGATCCCTCTGTCCCGGTCAACCCATTGGATGACCCGTCCTGCAGGAGCCTGGTCCAGATTCTGACGAAGGAACTCTTCCAGGCGCAACTTACGTCGTGTTTTCATTGACAAGTCCATCGGGGCGTCGGTAATGGCTGCTGGGGTCATGATGGTTTTCTGTGTATATAAAAATTTATTACAGAATGACGAGAAGTTGAATGATAAAAATAATACCCTAGTAAAGAGAGAACGTGTATTGATTTATGAGTGTTACTAAATTATAAAAAGAATAATATTATATGGACTTATAATAAATAACATATATACTGATTTTTTAATGGTATAATATGAACACTTAATGGTGAGAAACTAAACGCTGTCTTTTATATGGGGTTCATCTTTAATGGGTGATAGTTCTATTTATAGGGGCTCACCTCTAATGGGTGAAGGTTCTGATTGACTACTATTGTTACCCCATGATATAGGAGGGAGGTTCTCTACTCGCTCACTGTGTTCCCTCCCTCTTGTTCCCTCCGCTAGCTGTGGCTCCCTCCCTCTTGTTCCCTCCGCTAGCTGTGGCTCCCTCCCTCTTGTTTGTTCCTCCCTCAGTCTCTAACAACTCTCTTCCTACACTAATATACATTTAATCACCGTTGGTTGTGATTTTTCAAAAGGATAGAGGAAAATTTTGTTCCTCCGTATCTAACGAGTTTTTTTTTGTTCCCTTCTCGTTTTTTTTTTCCTGAACGAGATATGACAGGAGGAGTCAAGAGATGTATGAAGTATATTTAATTTTTCACTGTTGCGGATTATTTATTTTTTTCACTTTATTTGTCACTGTGTATGTATAAGGTAAGGATACGAGCAAAGTGTGTGTGTGTGTGTGTGTGTGTGTGTGTGTGTGTGTGTGTGTGTGTGTGTGTGTGTGTGTGTGTGTGTGTGTGTGTGTGTTTGTTTTGACTTATTCTCTTGCCCCTTTCCAATCACTTTCCTATACTTGTTTTGCATTATTTTCCCCTTTATCACGTCTTCTCTCTCTACTTCTTCTCTACGCCCTTAATACACACTAAAATATTGATCTCCAGAAATTCTTTTAGTTATTTGTATTTTTTTTTATAACATACGGGTTAATTATATCTTCTGTAAACTTATAAGATATATTTAATTTCTTCAACTACAAGATTAAAATTAATGGATTGAATAAAGTGAGTTTTTCTTGTTTCTTTCAAATACACAAAATTGATCGTCATAAATCACATCTTTAAAACACCAAATACATAAGATTTTCATTGTTAGTTTTTCGTCTGTATGTCACTGTGTCGCCATCAGTTATCACTACGATAGGGAGAGGTAAACACTGGCTGTGGAAGTAAGAGGGGATAATTTCTAAACTTGAAATAATATAATAATTTCTCTCGCTGGTGTGTAATGGTGATTTACTTAGGGGAAGAATTACACCACTATTGTGATACTGTCACCACATGGGAATTATATGAATGGAATCTTCATTGTTTGGTTTCTGAGTTATGTGATCCATCGAATTTGCTGGCTTCTGTAGTATCTTTTTGGAGACACACTCTTCATTCTGGACATATCTGGTACAGGTGTGTGGTAGCTCAGTGACATTAAGTTTTATTTTTTTTAGTTTAGCTTTGTGTACTGTGAAGTCACGAGGAGCCCTGGCTGACCAACATGACACCAATATGAAGAACAGTCGCCGAAAACGAGACGCCTTCAACTATAGATCGTGGAAGGAACAGTGTGATCTGCCTTCAGTGTATTACTGTAATAGTCATTTAGTACTCAGAGTCACTATGATCTGGTTCTAATGAGGCATAACTGTTGTCTGCCAGTCACATTATTACGGTGTTCTGAATGACTGACTGTCGAGCAGAGGGAATACACGCACAAAGCATCGAGGTAGTTGTTGTTGATACTAAAGGTTTCCATCACAACATCAGGAATAAAGACCAAGAAACACATAACTTCCACAACAACACTGAGGAATAATACAGTAGCCTTTGTTGAACTTGATGTGAACACAGTAGTAAAACACGACACTTACATGATGTACACCAAGTGAGTGAGTGAGAGTGAGGAGGAGGAGCACAGTTGTCACTCTCTGTAGTATGAACCAAATATCTCTTAGCGTCGTTCACTCACCCTTTTATATACCAAGCCTTATCCTTATCTGTGAGTGTAACGTGATGATGATGATAGTGTGTGTGTGTGTGTGTTAGGTTAGGTTAGTTTAGTATTTGGGTGTTTAATCATTCAGGTGAAATAAATTGGAAAGATTGGGGTGTAATTTAGAGTTACAAAGTCGAAGGGAGTTGTGTATGTGTGTCATGTTGGTGTGGAGATGTTATGAGAAAGGAGAACGAATTAATGATTAGTAAAAGGTGTATTTTATTAAGAGGTGGATGATAGAACAGGTGTGTACTGTTGGGTAATATGAAGAGATGGATATAAAACACCTAAAGAACTTGGAGACTCATGGAAAGAGATTACCAGACAGCAAAACATATCTATTGTAACACCAGGATCACAAACACTGTAAAAAGAAAAGAAAAAACAAAGTATTTTACCATTTTTGTGTGAAACATTATGACACGACTGACGAAGGATTTTGATAATTTACCTGATATAACGAAAATAGTAGTCATCATTAAGAAATTCATCGGGCCTATCAGAGAAGATGTACAGAAGATGAATGGCAACAAATGAGAGAGATTCACTATTACATCTGACTCCGGCCACTTCCACTTAAGGTAAAAAGGTAACCGGAATATACAATGTCGCTTAAAAAAAAAAAAACTCGGATTTCAAATAGTTGTATAATAATATCTGAGTATTATTTTTCATTAACTCTGTATATACATTTATTCACAAATATTATACAACATGAAACGTCCTATTTTGGAGGGTAATAAAGATTCTGCCATCGTATTTGTATGAGATAGTTGTAGGTTGTTTTGGTCTATATATATATACAGTACTATACATTTCCTTGTGAGTGAGTGAGTGAGTGAGTGAGTGAGTGAGTGAGTGAGTGAGTGAGTGTCATACTGCACATGTCAGACGGCTGATAGAGTCATCATTACATTAGTTTAGTTTTTTGTTCTCATTTCATTATCAGTATTAATTATGACCCAACACTCGAGTCATAACAGAGTGGGGTGACTTATAATGTCTCTGATAAGATAATTCAATCTCTTATCGTTTCACAGCATCAATAATAATATTTTTTTTTTGAAACAATCGTCACCACAATAGGTCAAGGTTTAGTTTGGCTGAATGAATAATCAATCATCATCAATCATCATCATCATCATCATCATCATCATCATCATCATCATCATCATCATCATCATCATCATCAATCACAGTCTTTTTTTTTTAATAATTTATATCGTAATTATCACCTGCCTACCGCCTTAACCCTGTCCACGTGAGCAGACATGTCCCGATAAGCTGAGCTGTTTGTATACATATGTCACAATCAGTATATTTCCGGTCGTGATTCACAACACCTGACTCAAATGGCCCTCAAACATCTGTCTTCACTTTAATCAAATAAATGGTGTCTGACTATTATAGACTTGGGATTGTTGTTGTAGTTAAGTACATAACGAGAGAGAGAGGCTGTTGTGTATGCATGTATGCTGTTCAATCATGATCTTCCTGTCAGTATGTTTCAATTCTTACTGTTTCTTTCATCTTGTGTCTTCATAAAGTTGATTCGTCAGTCTTTGAAAAAAAAAACCTAAAACAAATGATTTATTCTTGTCTTGTATCGTCCTCAAATTAGTCATAACTCAAACCATCGTCCTCAAAAGGTTGACAACATAAACCATTATCTTTAATACACATACGGACCTTAAACCATCAGATGGATATAACATAAACCATCTTCCTCAAAGGGTCAATAATATGTTATTTTCTAAAGGGATATTCTAAGTGTTTTTAATACCTGATCTTTGGAAATATATGATACCAAAGACCATCTAAATGATACCATACCCCTACCTGGAGACGTACAGGTATACATACAGGTAAACAAGTACACGTACAGGTAAACAGGTACACACAGGTAAACAAAGACAGTCATACATTCCTCTAATCAGCCTTGACCCACATTCACTATATTGCAAGAGATCAGTAGGTCACTAAGTTGTCCCAGATAGACAGATAAACAGAATGACAGAGGCAGTGAAAAAGACAGACAGATAGACAGATATAATGATGGATAAAGATAGAGGAAATGACAGGAAGATTGAATGATTAAAACACACTGAATAAGAGGGACAGATAGAAAGCTTGACGCAGGCTGTGGAAAAGACAGACAGATAGACAGTCAGACAGACAGAAAAACAGATAGACAGACAGATAGATTAATACAGGCAGTGTAAAAGACAGACAGGCAGATAGATTGACTGACACACACTGAATAAGAGACACAGGTTGACATAGACAGTGCAAAAGACAAACAAATAGACAGATAAAAGATTGACATAGTGGAAAAGACAGAAAGATAGACAGACAGACAGAAAGACATCCACACACGTCATAGAGTTACCTAGTCTACATTTAGCGGACCTTGTAGAACAGTAGTCAGTGGGTCAGTGGGTGTTGTTCTGTATGTTCTTGACGCTATGCCCACTGTAGCCACTATCAGTCTCTCTCTATCTCTCTCCTTTGTTCATGGTATAGAGAGAGAGAGAGAGAGAGAGAGAGAGAGAGAGATATACAAACATACATACTGTACACATACTGTATAGGCATATCACAGCAAAGGTCTTTGTTGTGTTCACCAATAACAGTCGAGGTTTTTATTTTTACCCATCAATCACACCAATCACAGCCCAGGATCTCAAATTGTCCAACAATCACAGCCCAGGATCTTATTGTGCCTACCAATCACAGCTCAGGATCTTATTGTGCCCACCAATCACAACTCAGGATATTACTATGTCTACCAATCACAGCGATGGGGTATATAGGGTGCTGGCTGTATTTGTTTTGGATAATTCACTCTGAGGAAAACACATCGCCGAAACGTAAGAAAGTATAACTCCAACTGCCTACTGCATTTCCTTGTCACCATAATTCACTCGTATGTTATAAATCCAGTCAATATATATACTGTATATAAACTCACGCGTTGGCTCCCACATCCTCAATGGTGTTTTGTTATAAGTGGTGACATCCTCTCAATCTTATCCATCAGGAGTGTTATCAGGTCCAGTTCTAAGAATTAACCGGTGATCAACAATTGCCTCAGACGTGTACAAAACAGAGATGAACATGATGACTTTTTTTCTAATCTGCAAAGTTAGTTATCTGAGACAGCATGAGTGGTGAAACAGTCTAGGGCAGAGGTACAGCGATATCTCTGTTGGCACCAAGATGAAGAAGGTGTTCATGGTCGATTTTGTCTGATACCTTCGTGGGTTATAATGCATGTATCGAGTCTCATTAACATATTTGTTTATTCCAGTATGTTTTAGTGTTAATAGGCTGCCTAGGCACACACACACACACACACACACACACACACACACACACACACACACACACACACACACACACACACACACACACACACACACGCCACTAGAGGTGACTGGGGATAACAATATAGTGTGCGGGATAGATTGGAACCTATGGCTTTACTTGGTTCAACTCAAACATATAACCTCTTAATCTAACCCCATACAACTCTCCTTAACTTAATTATAAAACCCTTATCCCACCCTAATTCCTTCTTAAGTAGTACTGGCGTTTTACTTCTTTTCGTCTACTAGTAAGGAAAATCAAAAGAACATCGGTGACGTATTAGGAGCGTTATGTCACTGTTACTCTTTCTACTGTGTTGGTGGGTGGCTGACAACTGCAGAATCGACTGTTTTTATTTGTGTCATATTTCTCTCTCTCTCTCTCTCTCTCTCTCTCTCTCCATCACCTTGAACGAAACGACTAAAGCAAGCGTTTATTTCTACAAAACATTGAATACACTTGCTCGAACAAAGTACGGACGACATTTTTATGGGAAACATTAGCCCGAACCTCTTGACAGCGAGGATAAAAGGGATTTGATTCTCTTATATAAGCTCCGATCCTCTTTAATTCACACACTCTATAGATAAAAGAAATTCTCACTCGTAACATAAACCTTACCTGAGCCTCCTGTGTCAGTGTTATGTAACGTTGTATTTACCTATATAGAGTATGTTGTTCTTAATTAATTTTTGTCTATTACAGATTCATACCAAGACTATCTGAAGAGAGTGATGTAGTAATAATAATGACAGTAATAATGATAGTGATAATGCTAAGAGTAATGATAATATGTATAATGATAAATGAAGATAATGATAAATATTGTGACGATATTAGAAGCTGCAGTAGTAGTAGTAGTATTAGTATTAGTAGTAGTAGTAGTAGTAGTAGTAGTAGTAGTTCTCCTGGTGGATGCTTCAAACGCATTCAACATACTTAACCGCAAGGCGGCACTGCACAACATCAAGATCAAGTGTCCTAGCTTTGCGATGTATGTTGAAAATTCGTATAGGAATCCTTCAGACCTCTACGTAGTAAACAACAAGGCTCTACGAGGTGATACCATCCTACAGTCGACCGAGGGAACAACACAGGGAGACCCCGTTGCAATGGCAATGTATGCAATAGGCCTATCAGTGCTCCAACAAGAAATAAAGTATGAAACAACTGGGGTCAAACAAGTGGCATATGCTGATGACCTCACAGGAGCAGGAAAAGTGGAGGACATCAAAAAGTGGTGGGACCTGGTAACATCGCGAGGTCCACAAATAGGGTACCACCCAAACGCCAGCAAATCCTTCCTCATCGTGAAGCCAGATCATTATGATCGGGCTGTGGAGGTTTTCGGCGAAAGTGAGGTCAAAATAACTAAGGACGGCCAAAGACATCTAGGCGCAGTAATTGGCACTACGGACTTCAAGACCCAGTACGTAGGGGGAAAGGTGAACGAGTGGGTTAGCGAAATCCATGCTCTATCGGAGATTGCTAACACAGAGCCACATGCGGCCTTTGCAGCATTCACACATGGAGTCAAGCATCGTTGGAACTACCTGATGCGTACCATCCCTGAG